AGGAAAACTCCAACCGAGACCAATCGCATATTCGGAGCTGTATTCATTCTATTTGGTTTGAGGGGATGGAGGACTGGTAGCTTAATTTCCCCACGAGCATAGACTGGTTCCCAAAAAGATATTCTCATCCAAGCAGTTCCGACCTCGCCTGAGTCTCATCATCACCCCAAACAGGACTCCAACTCGGCCTGTGGTAGAAGTGTATCTCAAAGAAGCATAGGCCTTTCCCATGCCTCCTGCAATGAGATTGTCAAATTTCCATTTGCTGTGGCAATCGAGGGCATTATTTACTTTCGGTCTATAAGCAGGCATTCGAGATTACCAGTAGGTCAGATAAAAGAGCTGCATTCAAACCATTTTGTTTAGGATGATGAAGGAATGGTAGTTGACTTCACACAATCAAGTGAATAGGGAGAATACAGCTCTCATATCAGATATATTGGAAGTCTCGAAAATCTACTTGTAAACGGAATTTCCACACAGCGATGAGTAGACATGACGTTTCGGTCTAATTTAACATAGCCTTCTTATCATCCAGGTCCATTCAGCGTCCCTAGGGGCACACGAAGCACGACGCTGCAGAGCAAAATCACAACACTTTAATCGTCACGCCACATTGCCACGAGTATCCTTGGGTCACAGGGCAGATGCGTATTCCAAGGAATACCATGCATTTTTCATACCACATTCCGTGGTGGGATTTTTGATAAAGCTAAGTTGTAGTTGCTATAGCAATCGACTGCGCTACTTATTCATCGTTCATAAGTAGGCTTTCGAGACTGTCTGTAGATCATATGGATGATAATTCACATCTGCCCTATGACCCAAGGGCATTCGTGGCAGTGGCGTAGTGGCTAGTGTCGAGATTATACGCTGAGTGTCATGGTTCGAGTCCCGCTGGGGGTGTTGAATAGACCCGGGCAAGATTGGAGGTGCATTTTCCCCCGGATGAGAATAGCTTTCTGGAAGGCAAGGTTGTATGAAATTCAACCGAACAGTCATGTGATTGTGAGAAAACTCAATTAGCACTGGCCTTGTCAATCTAAACGAGATAGGATTAGTGAATCTCACATCTCAGACATACTTGCAGTCTCGAAAGTCTACTCATAAAAGGAAAATAAGTGACAAGTTTTTGAGGATTTCACGGGGAAAGCTGACCGTACCACTCCACTATGAATCACACAATGAACCAGCTTGCCTCGGGCTTCTAAGTAGAGAGCGGCACACTGAGGGTGGACACGCATGGGGCCGGAGCGACACATTTCTCGTTGGAAAGCCCCGACGGGGATGAAGGTGGCCTCGGGTCTTACCTCACTTTTGGCCAGTTTCTGCCCTCCTTTTCTGCGCCGCCTTCCATCGGACGGCCGGCCAAGCGCGGCTGCGTCCTCAGGCCGAGAGTACTCGGCCTGACGGACTGAGGCGTCATGGTGG